AGGGAGCGGGGTGTTGGCGGTGAGGGAGCTGCGGGAGGTGCAGTGTGTAGAGAGGCGAGCGCATTGGGAGTGGAGCAAGGGGAGATGTAGTGGGGAATGGGTAGGGGAAGGGATAGCAGGTGGTTGTATGATTTGGGGGATCGGTGAGGGTCACAGTGATGGAGGGAGGGGGGAGAGTGAGAGTATGAGGAGTGTCGGGTGAGGGGTGGGAGTTGGGGAGAAGGAGAGGGAGATTGAGGGATAGGGAGGGTTGGGAGTAGAGTGAGGGGAAGTGTTGAGGGCGTAGATTGAGGATAGGGCGTAGAAATGGGAACAGTGAGGCGTGGGAGGAGAGAGAGTTGGGCAGGGGGTTGGTGAATGAGGTGTTGGTAGAGAATGAGGGAGTTGGGGTGGTAGAATGAGGGGATGTGCGGTGGGGATGAGTGAAAGGAGGAGAGAGGGTTGATGGAGGGAGAGGAGTGATTATAACCAGAAAGGGGGTTTGATGGGTTGGCATACAAGAGGGGGATATGGCAGCGTGGGTTGTAAAGGAGAGTATGGCGTTTATTTTGTGAAATTGTGTTCGAGAATGTAAGTGGATTGAGGAAGTGGAAATGGGGATTGGGGAGAGGTGCGCTTTCCTTTTCCACTTATTGAAATACTTCAGTCTTTGAGTAAAAGGTGTTCCTTCAGTGTATTTAGGGGCATGAGCTGTTTGAACACTGATGGAAGTCTGCTATGTGATAGGAATGTGGGGCTGGAGGAGAGCTTCCCCTGTACCATTTGCCTTGTTGAGAAGTTGCTGGCTTTGGGAGGTGTTTCTGAAGATGCAGAGGGTACTGCGTGTGTGGAATGAGCTGCCAGAGGAAGTTGTGGAGGCTGGTACAATTACAAAATTTAGAGCCACACAGCTGTACTGCATGGAAAGTCACCCTTTGGTCTAACTTGTCCATGCCGACCAGATATCCTAAATTAATCTAGTCTCATTTGCCAGCATTTGGCCCATATCCCTCTAAACCCTTTGTATTCATGTACCAATTCAGATGTCTTTTAAATGTTGTAATTGTACCAACCTCGACCACTTCCTCTGGCACCTCATTCCATACACGCACCACCCTCTGTGTGAGAAAACTTTGCCCCTTAGGTCTCTTTTAAATCTATCCCTTCTCACCTTAAACCTATGCCCTCTAGTCTTGGATTCCCCTACCCTAGGGAAAAGACCTTGACTAATCACCTATTCATGCCCCTCATGATTTTATAAACCTTGATAAGGTCACCCCTCAGCCTCTGACGCTCCAGGGAAATAGCTCCAGCCTCTCTACAGTTCAAACCCTCCAACCCTGGTGACATTCTTGTAAAACTTTTCTGAACCCTTTCAAGCTTCACAACATCTTTCCTATAGCAGGGAGACCAGAATTGAATTCTGTATTCCAAAAGTGGCCTAACCAATGTCCTCTACAGCTGCAACATGACCTCCCAACTCCTGTACTCAATGCACTGACCAATAAAGGCAAGCATATCAAACGCCTTCTTCACTACCCTATCCACCTGCGATTCCACTTTCAAGGGACTGTGAACCTGCACGCCAAGGTCTCTTTGTTCAGTCATATTCCCCAAGACCTTACCATGAAGTGTGTAAGTCCTGCCTCACGCTTATCTAAGTTAAACTCCATCTGCCACTCCTCGGCCCATCGGATCAAGATCCTGTTGTACTCTGAGATAATCTTCTTGGCTGTCCACTACACCTTCAATTTTGGTGTGATATGTAAACTTACTAACCATACCTCCTATGTTCACATCCAAATCATATATATAAATGACGAAAAGCAGTGGACCCAGCACTGATCCTTGCGGCACACCGCTGGTCACAGACCTCCAGTCTGAAAAGCAACTCTCCCCCACCACCCTCTGTCTCCTACCTTCGAACCATTTAAAAGGCAGGGTTTGGAGGAATATGGGCCAAATGCTGGGCAATGGGGCTAGATTATTCTGGTAGGTACAGATGAGTTGGACCAAAGGGTCTGTTTCCGTGCTGTGCATCTGAATGACTCTGTGGTAACCAATAGCTGCTGTGTAACTGAGGCAATTTTTGTCAGAGTAGACATCTGCGCCCCTAAGTTTGAACACCATAAAATATTCTGATGTGAGTTTGATAACTGAAATATTGACACAAGAAACTTTGCTCGGCTTCTCAACATAAGACAGTGATATAGTGTAACTTGATGTGATCGGTTTTTTCCCTCCTGGTCACTGCTAGATTTCAGTAAAACGTTTCTGTTATGGTCAGTTGCTCCCCGAAAGAAACGCTACAAGATAAATTTTCTGTCTTTCCGAATCTGTGTTGTTTTGAATGGGGTAATTAACAGTGAAGTGCTGGTGGTTACTGGGCTGTCATTGTGGGTGGTGGTAGTGGGAGCAATTTAAAATAATCAAGGATATTGTACTATGTGCAGCTAATTAGTTTGATTACGATACTTGATAGGCACCAGAATTCTGGACATGCTTCACGACATCATTAGGTATAACCAGTGCTGCAATGGTTCACATCTTAAGCTCGAAAATTCAGCATGTGATTTTTCTTTACAAAGTTACGTGTCTCTTTCAGATCTGATTGTGCAAGCTAAATCTGGTACGGGGAAAACATGTGTCTTTGCTACAATTGCATTGGACTCCCTTATCCTCGAGAATCCGGCAACACAGGTTAGCATTTGTGTGAAATTTGCAGAGGTTGTTCTGAACTTTGCATATTGCCCCTTTCTTGTGCTGTGTAAATTGTTGTTCCCTTTGAAATTTGGAATTCTTCTGTCTGTCATGATGGGAGCAAGACAAAAAGCTTTGACAGCATGCCTCTTTTTCGGCAAGCGGTTACCAGCAAACAACCGCTGTGAACCATAGTTAACTTCATTTTGCACACTCTTGCCATAGAAACCTGCCCAGTTGTGTGTAATTGGGGAAAAGCACTGAGCCCAGTGCGGTATTGTTCCAAGCAATCGCTGACAGTTTCTGCTTGAGCTTTCTGACAGTGTTGAAAACTGGGCAGCAGATATTTCTCCGCATCTCCCAGTTTTAAAAGCTTGAATGCATGGGAAGTGGGAGTGCATGGTTGGACACAGATTACCTAGGACAACGTTTGCTCACATTACAAGTATTTAAGTGGAAGCAGGAGTTGAGATCTTGCATTTACGTAGCACATTTCATGTTTGGAACACACTCGCAAGTGTTTTACAATCAATGGAGCACTTTTGAACTGTAGCTACTACTAAAACACTGGGAACTCTAGCCAGTCTGTGCCCCACATAATCTCACAAAGAAGGTATTTGACACGCTTGCCTTCATCTGTCAGAGCATTGAGTTTAGGAGTTGGGACATCATGTTACAGCTGTACAAGACATTTGCTAGGCAGCATTTGCAGTATTGTATACAATTCTGGTTGCCCTACTATAGGAGAGATGTTATTAAACTGGAAAGGATGCAAAAAAAGATTAAGAAGAATATTATCGAGATTGGAGGGTTTGAATTATAAGGAGGGACTGGATAGTCTGGGACTTTTTTCCCTGGAGAGTAGGAGGCTGAGGGGTGACCTTATAGAGGTTTATAAAATCATGAGGGGCGTAGATAAGGTGAATAGCCAAAGTCTTTTGCCCAGGATAGGGGAGCCCAAAACTACAGGCATAGATTTAAGGTGAGAGGGGAAAAATTTAAAAGGGACCTGTGTGGCAACTTTTTCCACACAGAGGGTGCTGCGTGTATGGAGCGAGCTGCTAAAGGATGTGATAACGTGGGTACAATTACAACATTTAAAAGACATTTGGACAGGTACATGGATAGAAAAGGTTTAGAGGGATATAGGCCAAATGCAGGCAAATGGGACTAGTTCAGTTTAGGAAACTGGTTGACAGGGATGAGTTGGGCCGAAGGGTCTCTTTCTGTGCTGTATGACTGTACGGTTCTATGACTCTATAACAGCATGATGATTGGTTGATGAATGAATATTGGCCAGAATGGCCAGGAGAAAGCAGTTAATTTTCAGAGAAGTGTTCTTGGTTCTCTGTCTCGGTAACACATCTTTCCATCCAATTTTTCTTCCATCCCCAGCAACAATTTGATTGCTGCTGCTGCTGTGGTGTTCTCTAATCACGATATACCTACACTGTAAGTTGTGTTGATGGCCAGTTCTTTCCTTGTTGCTTGCAGGTTCTCGTTCTGGCGCCTACCAGGGAAATTGCAGTCCAAATCCACTCAGTCATTACAGCAATTGGCATTAAAATGGAGGGCCTGGAATGTCACGTCTTCATTGGAGGGACCCCATTGAACCTAGACAAAATGCGGCTGAAGAAATGCCATATCGCAGTAGGTTCTCCAGGTGAGAGAATTCTAGAACAGAACACCAGCTGGAATGCTTTCCCAAGGCATTTCACAGAGCTTTAGCCTACGCTATCGACTTTGGGCCATGCAAGCAGACTTACAGCTTGGTCACAAAGGTTTTCAAGGAGCTTTGTGTAGGAAGGGGGTAAGGTGGAGAATCAAAGCCTTGACCCTCAGAAGCTGGGCATGTAATTCCCCTCCGTGCTGGTGCAGTGACGATTGGAGATGCTGAAGGGGGCAGAATTGGAGATCTGCAGTTATCTGGGAGAGTTTTACAGCTATTGGAGATCAGAGATAGTGAGGGGTGAAACCACAGAGGGACTTGAAGTATCATAATTTGAGGCAAGTGGCATCTTGTGAGTCTCTTGTTATTTCTTGGAGGCTGAGAAATTGTAAACTATGTTTGGAACAAATAATTTTGGAAACTTGCAATACTGTCCAGGGCGGCGTACTGGCTGGAATGGATACAGAGACTTGTAGGTCATTTTCTGCTCCCTGTTGATAAGATACAAGCAAGTGAAGCACTTTTCCATGACCCTGAGCTGGGAGTGTCTTACAGCCAGTGAACGACTTTTGAAATATAGTCATTGTTGCACTGTGTGAACTGCTGTTGTTTATATACTGTCAGGGTTCTGTAGAGAGCAATGTGACTGAAGGATAAGTATTGGCCAGGATGGTAGAAAACTGCCCTGCAGTTGTTTGGAATAGCACTGAGGTGCTCATCTGTGAGGGGCAATTGGACGTTTGTCATATGAGAGATGGAATCTCCAAAGTGCAACACTCCCATGGTACTGCCATCGAATGGTAGCCTGAGTTATGTACTCAACTCTGAAATGGAACTTAACTCTCAATCATCTAACAATACCGTGGTAACTGAGAGTTATTTGTAGGTCCTCAGTCTTTTTAAAATTTACCCTTTCATGGGGTGTAGGCCTCACTGGCAAGGGCATTATTTTGTTGCCCATCCCTAATTGCCCTTGAAGCTGAGTAGCTGGTTCGACCATTTTAGAGGCAGACTGGGGAAGGATGGTGGACTTCCATCCGTAACGGGCATTGGTGAACTAGATGAGTTTTTAAGATAAATGACAGGGATTGCATAGTTACCATTAGACTAGCATTTTAGTCTTTTTTTTTTATTGAATTAAAATGTCCCCTTTTGGTGTGATGGAATTTGAACCCATGTCCCGAGAACATTGATCTTGGGTCTGGATTACTAGACTAGCGAATCTGCAGTAACCTGGACAAATTGACATGCTATAGAGTTTGTGAGAGTAGGAACAGACAGTTTTAACCCCTCTTCTGTTCTGCCATTCAGTGAGATTGTGACGCAGCTCCATTTGCCCACCCCTCAGTTCCATGTTCCTGAGGTACTCTTAATTCGTAAAAACCTTATCAACCTTGCTTAACTGATGCGAAGGGTGAGCATCTGCTTTATATGGACTTTTTTTTTGAGGAACGTATTGCCTCATCATGCGTGTCACATGTATTTACTGAAGCAAATGACTTCCCTCAATGCAGGTCGCATTAAACAGCTGATCGAGATTGGCTTTCTCCCGACAGTCAGTATCCGCTTGTTCATATTGGATGAGGCGGATAAGTTGCTGGAAGAGGGCAGCTTCCAGGAGCAGATCAAGTAAGTGAGCAATTCCAAATTGTGACATTTCAAAATATTTCTCTTAAAGCTGTACTTGCTGTTGAAGGGCCAAAGCAGTTTATTTGATACAGACAACTATTTTAAAATGTCACTATTTAGCATTTGTGAAGTCACCTAGCGTTGACTCAGCACCCACAGCAAGTGTTTTGTTACTGTGGCCCATTCGCTCATTGAAATGGAGCAGTGCCTTGACAATAAAAAGGCCCCTTTGAGTCCTGAATTTTTTTTTGGATGAAAAGGAATTTCCATGAATGCAGACACTGTGGGAAGGGGACAAAACATTTTAAGCAAAGTTTGTTCCCCTTCTACAGGGAACCAAAAGGCACTTTATCGGAGCTCTGAATAAAAATGGAAAATGTTGGAGGCACCTGGCAGGTTAGGCGGTGCCTGTATAAAAGAAAGCACAAAACAGGGGTGAATGTTTCACATTTGATGCCAGTTCAGTGACCTGAAATTGTTTCTTCTCTTTTCATCCATATCCTGCAAAACTCCCCCTAACATGCACACAAACATACGCACTCGCCTTCAACTGCTTTATCTGTTCTCTGATGTCTCACCCAGATGACCATAGTGATTTTTGGGGTCTGGGTGGGGTTGGTTTGAAATCCATCCGTCTGGATGTACCGAGGTGACAGATATACAGGAATAAGCCATTCAATCCACCAAGGCTCCTTCAACACCTTCCAAGCATGAGGCTTCTGCGATCTGGAATGACAAGGGAAGCATACGCGGGACCACCAAAACTTGTAAGGCGCACACCATCTTGACTTTTGGCTGGGTTAAAATCCTGGAACACTCTTGCACATAGCATTGTGGGTGTACCCACAACCCAAGGACTGTAGTGGCTCACCACCACTTTCTCAGGGCATTTAGGGATGGACAATAAATGCTGACCTAACCAGTGATGCCCACATCTCGTGAATGAATGTGTTTTGTAAAAAAGAGAGCTTGTGCCTGATCTACTCTTTGACTGCCATGCACCCACATGTGTCATGTTTCCTTTGCTATCCTTGCCCAGCAAAACATTATCCAGCCTCCACCCTGAAGGTTTCTACTGTCCCTCTCTAGGCTACTTTTCTGGGGAGACAGTTTTAAACTTATCCAACCCATTGCATGGGCAGAATTTAAAAAAAAAAATCCTGATGTCAACCCTGGTTATATCCTAGTTCAAATTACATTATGATTCTTCCTGGTTTTTGCTTCCAGTTCTAGTGAGAGTATGTATGTCCTGTGTTCAACCCCTGTTGAATGCACTCCTCTGTCATCAGTGGTCAAGGGAACACAAGCTCGAGTTTGTACAACCTGTCCTTGTAGTTTTTCTCTGAACCTTGACGTAATTGATGTTGCCCCCCTTCTGAGGCTCTGCAACTCCACCTGAAGGCACTGAATTGCATTACAGCCTTGGATTTTCTTTTTAGTAATTACACAGCCTTATGAGACTGTTGTTTTGCCTCGATAAATTTTATATGTGCTGCATTTCTCAAATGAGCATGTATCCACTGTGACCGTTGTTGAGCAGGATGTGACAGCGTTAGGTTGCTATGACCTGGAATACACTGCATGAAATAAATTGATTTTCAAAAGAAAATTAGACATATTCTTGAAGTGGGAAAGATTTACAGGTCTACGGGAAAGAACAGGAGAGTGGGACTAATTGGATAGCTCCTTCAGAGGGGGCACACAGACATGATTAGCTGAATAGCTTTCTGTGCAGGGAAATTCTGTTAGAATTTGACAGCTGTATTTTTTTTTTGATGAAATACTGAATATATTTTGTGGGCATCATGTGTCAGCCGATCAGGATGCTTAAGTCACCAAACCACAGAACTAAAAATTACATTTGTAAAGACTGCACTTGAAAAGCAGAATACTGTGGCTGCTGAAGTAAAGCAGAAAATACTATAAATGTTCCCCCAGATCTGGCAGCATCAGTATGGAGAGAGAAATTGAGTTAACATTTCATGCCTGTGACCTCTTATCATAGCTGGGGAAAAAGTTAGAGATCCAAAAGAGAGGTTTTGAGCCTGGGGGCTGGTGGGATATGATCAATGGAAGGCAGGGTCGACAGGAGGAGAGATTGAATGATAGAACTGTTACTACTGCAGGGCCAAAGAGACTGTCTTAAAGCCAAATACATCTCTCATTTTCCCTGTTCTGATGAACTTGTTTTATTTTGTTTCATGGGATGTGAGCATTGCTGGCTGAAGCAACATTTATTATCCCTAAGGTGGTGGTGATGGACTGCCCTCTTGAATCACTGTAGTCCATTGGGGGTAGGGGCACGCAACACTGTTAGGGAGGGAGTTTCAGGATTTTGCTCCAGCGACACTGAAGGAACAATGATATTTCCAGGTCAGGATGATGAGTTGTTTGTAGGGGAACTTGTAGGTGTAGTGCTCCTATGCATCTGCTGCCCTTGTTCCCTAAGGTGGTAGAGGTTGCGTGTTTGGAAAGTGCTTCTAAGGAAGCTCGGTGAGTTACTGCAATTCATCTTGTTCACACTGCTGCCACTATGCACTGGTGTTGGATGTGGTGCCATTCAAGTGGGATACTTTGTCCTGGATGGTGTCAAGCTTCTTCTATGTTGTTGGAGTTGCACCCATCCAGGCAAGTGGGGAGTATTCCATTACATTTCCCACTTGTGCCTTGTAGATGCTGGAAAGGATTTGGGCAGTTACACTCGGCACTCCTAGCTTCTGACTTGCTCCTGTATTTATATTGCTGGTCCAGTTCAGTTTGAAGTGAATGGTAACCCACAGGATGTTGATAATGGGGGAGTAAGAGTGATGCCAATGCCATTGAATGGTGAGGGACAATGATTAGAATCTCTCTTGTTGGAGATGGTTATTGCCTTTCACTTATGCAAATGTTACTTGCCACTTACCATCCTAAGCCTGGATATTGGCCAGGTATTCCTGCATTTCAGAACAGACTGTTTTGGTATTTGAGAAGACATTATTGGTGCTGAACATTGTGTTGCCATCAATAAGCATTCCTGCTTCAGATATTATGATTGAGAGAAGGCCATAAATTGAACTAGTGACAGTGATGGTGCCAAGGAAACTATCACAAGGAAATGGGGCTCTTGTGGTGCAGTGGTAGTGTCCCCACCTCTCGGCTAGGAGCTGGGGTTCAAGTCTCACTTACTCTAGAGATGTGTCATAACATCTGTGAACAGGTTGATTAGAAAATATTTGACCTGAGGAACTTCTGCAGAAATCTCCTGGGACTAGAGATGATTGATTTCCAACAACAGCCATCTCCCTTTCTGCTAGGTGTGATTCCAACCAGCTTTGTACCTCTCTCCATACAGATACTGCCTTACTTGCTGTATTTTTCTAGCATTTTCGGTTATGCTTACAGTCCTTGGTTGTTTGACTGAGCCTAACACTCCTCAGCTAGGAGCAGACCAGAAGAAAGCCTCACCTTTGTTAAAAGTTGAGGCTTGGGGTCTTGCTAATTGCTTTTGTGAAAGCTACTGCATGGGGGCAATTTAAAACCATGCTCCCTTCCCATGAGGAACTGTGTAAGCTGGGGCCATTGCTTTTTTGTTGGGTTATTTGGAGTTGAGTGATCTGAATCCCAGCTCCCTCATTACAGGTCTCATCTCTATGTATGGCTGTCAACCAGTCAGTCAGCATCTCCAAGGACCGCTCCCAGCTGCTTGACTGTAGAATTGATTCACGGAACTTGCTGTTGTTATCAGTTGTGTCATCTTAAAGTTAAACAAACACCTTGCTTTCCCTTCCTTTTTATATACAGACACATGTTTGCACTGGATAGTCACAGCTTGGTTAGACATCTATTAAGTGAATGTTTGAGCAAAGCTGTGTAACTTTCAGCAGCGTAGTTCCTTGACAGTAAGACACTACATGTCCAGGTTATATGTACTTTAGGCTTCCTAAAGTGTGTGGTCTTTGCAGACGCTCAGATTCCTGAAAGGTTAAAGCCACATTAAGTAGATTCTGCCTGAGCTGTCCCTCAAGCTATTCCTCTGTGTGTGAACATTTTGTTAATTGTCAGGTATGTGAGCATGTCCCTTCATGATGATTTATAAAGGTCTGTGAGACTAGGTTCACCATGTGGGAGATTTCCGATTTGAACTCTTCCATAGCCATTGTCTGCTGCAGATTTCCTGATCTCTACTGTTCTGCCGAGTGGAGACTAAGGAATTCCATGCACGGATTGCAGGATTCCGAGGTGAGAGGGGTGTCTGCCAATCATGGTACCCATGTGCTGTTTGAGGCCTGATTGTAGGCCACTACTGCCAGAAAAAGCAGCTGAGTATCTGAGAGGGCAGCTGAGGGAAAGGGACAAATTCTTTGCCAGAAAAACCTGATGATTCAAGTACGGGTAGGAGAACCAAGAGGTCACTTAATCCAGCAAAACCAGACACTCTTGCACCCTATCTCCAACCCATTCCTATCTGCTGTTAAATTACAGAACAGCCACCAACTACAGAATCTAGAATGTGAAATAAAGTTTGATTCACTTCATCGTGACCACTTCTGCTTGAAATAGATATTGGTATACATGACTACACATTATTGTTGCATTTACATTATAAACTTGACTTTTCATTCAAGTTAGTTTTTATATAATAAATTTGCCCAAACAGATCTTTTTTCTATCCTACTGTCTTTCTAATTATTTTTTTTAATCAGTCTGTATGGATATGCATCACATTTCCAACACAGGAGTCTTGATTTCAGACCTCCTAGCCCAGAGGTAGGGACACTGTCACTGTGCCACATGAGCTGCCCCTCACCACCCCACCCCAGCAGCTTTACTTATGTTAGTAATCTCTTCTATTAATATAAAAAGATGCTTTTTAAATTCATTCACAGGATATGGGTGTTACTGACTAGGCCAGCATTTATTACCCATCCCAAATTGCTCAGAGGGCAGTTAAGAATCGACCACGTTGCTGTGGGTCTGGTGTCACATGTAGGCCAGATGAGATGATAGCGACAGTTTCTTTGCTGAAAGGACATTAGTGAAACAGATGGGTTTTTTTTCCAACAATTGACACTGGTTTCAAGATCATCATTAGACTCTTAATTCCAGATTTTTTTATTACTGAATTCAAATTCCACCATCTACCATGGCAGGATTTGAATCCAGGTCCCCAGAACAGTGTTTGGGTTTCTGGATTAACAGTCTAGTGATAATATCACTAGGCCATTGCCTCTCCTCAAGCAGATGATTGTGGTTTGTTGATTGATTTAATTGACTGGTTAATGATGGAATGGGTGTTCTTGTGACTCAGTGGTAATTTCTCTACCTATGAGCCAGGAGGCCCGGGCTCAAGTCCCGCCTGCTCCATAGATGTGAATTAGAAAATGTAATGCAATAGGAACAGGTAGAACTAGTGTGGAAGGAGCTGTAAGACTGAGGAGTTAATAAACTCTATCTACAAAGAAAAGTGTTCTAGTTTCTGTCTTACTGACTGACATGGATCCAAATTGACAGCACTTACGGGGAGCAGTTTGATAGCCTAAAGATTTTTCTTTTCTGTTTCTTCATAGCTGGATTTATTCTTCGCTGCCATCAAATAAGCAGATGGTGGCCTTGTCTGCAACATACCCGGAGTCATTGGCCCATCATTTAACGAGGTATATGAGGGATCCCAGCTTTGTCCGACTGAACCCTACTGATCCATCACTCATTGGTAAGCCCACCTTGATGTCTACTGTTTAATGCTTTGAAAGGTAGAAAGTAGAGTTGATACATGGGAAAAACTAACTTGGCACTGGTGAGGAATTTCTGAACCGATTCAGTTTACTGGGTGAAACAGTGTGCCACATTGAACCTCTGCCACTTTGTTTTGAATCCAGCAGCCTCTGACAATGTATGAAACTCTTTGGTTTTACTCTCTCCATTTTTATAAGTGGTATTTTGAATGATCTGAAGCCAGGTTTCTGAAGTGCAAGTTTGTGCCGGGCAGTGCAGCATTGTTTCAGTGAGAAAGAAAGCGCTAGACTGATAGTTAAACTAGTCTCTTTAGCTGTGTTGTTGGGCTGGTGTGGAAGAAATTAATCGTCCCATGGGTCACTGGACCGGAAATGTTAACTCTGATTTCTCTCCACAGATGCTGCCAGACCTGAGTTTTTCCAGCAATTTCCGTTTTTGTCTGTGATGTACAGCTTCCGCAGTTCTTTCAGTTTTTGCTACAATCTCTAGAGTCTGCTCCATCCTTCAATTACATTGAAAACTTTTACGTTAGCTCCATTAATGCAGCTTGGTTTAATCAATTGTGTGATATAGATCAGCCCCACAATGACGGAATGTTTCTATACCCAAACATTTCCATTGTTTGTGTCTAATGTCTCCACTTATTTATTTTGGCTGAGGGGACAGATTGGTCACAATTAGACCAACACAGACTGTAAAATGGCTGTTACAAGTCTGAAGTAGGGTCACCAGACCTGAAACGTTAACTCTGCCTTCTCTCCACAGATGCCGCCAGACCTGCTGAGCCTTTCCGGCAATTTCTGCGCTCATTACTGTAACATGAGTGCTTAAAGTGGGCAATCAGGATATTTATTTCCCATGTCTGAATTCACTGGTTCTTGTTTGCTTCACTATGTCGCTGAGCTAGTGATGGATGAGCCTTTTTCAAATTGTAGTTTGATTTTGTAGCACCTTGCTGCGGTGCTGAAATACCAGAGTGCATCAAAGAATTACTTTTGGAGTGTGGTGAATGTTATTACTTTGGCAGAGGGCTTGTCTGTTCTGTCTGCGTTTCTTTTTGTTTCTTTTCACTTGCCTCTTGTGAAGAGTTCAGTCATGGCAGCGATGGCGAGGTGAGCCCAGGGTGGACTCATGGCTGCTGTGGTGAAGGTCAGTGCCTGCATCCAGCGCCGACTCGTGGAGGCAGAGGCGAGACTGGGCCCAGTACGAGACCCGGCAGCATCAGTGAGGTGGGCCTGGAGTAGACTCTTGGTGGTGTCGGTGGGCCTGAGCTTGAGCGGGTGCGAGACCCGGCACCACCGGTGAGGCCCAGCATGTTGGCAGCATCGGTGGAGGCGAGATGGTGCCGAAGAATGATAACTCTTGTTCTGATGGCACGGCGAAGGGACTAGCGGCTGGCTGTTCCAGGCCCGTGGCTGAGCACTTAACAAGAACGACTGTAAAGGTCAACTGTTTTTTTTTTAACTTTTCTGCCTTTATGTTCTGTTTTAAGATGACTCCAGAGAGTGGCGACACTATGCAGCACTTTTCACTGAATTTTGTAACAAAATGCACGTGACAATAAATAACTCAAATCAAATGCAAAAGCTTTTCTAGCCGGACGACTTTTCTCACAACCCGCAGTAAGATTAATTGTCACCACTGTCTTGTTCCTGTTGCTTAAATTTATTGAGACTGGGACGTGGGGAGAACTTGCTGTTGTGCTCAGTATGGGATGACTTGCAGTAACTGCAGCAAGTCAAGCAAAGCTGACCTTTAAAGCGACAGCTTAGTTAGAGGTAGCAGAAAATGAAGTATTCTATTTGCGGAGAGAAAGTAGTCTACCAGTGCCTGACGCAGATACGTTGCTGAAGGTGGCCTACATTTCCCTGTAATATCAATAGTGGCTGTTTTGAAATTTGGTATTCTTGTATTTGTCCTGAAGAATGTAAGATGAAAAGCTATGTGAACATATGTCTCTTGTCAGTTTTCATTAATTTTCCTGGTATGTGTCAGTCAAGGCCAGGAGTGGAGACTCTGCAAGTTGAGAAAATCCAGTGGAGAAGGGAAGAATTCATTTTTATTCTTTTTGTTTTGGTTCAAGGGTTTGGTGAAATGAGTAGCAGACAAACTTCATTTGTTGCAGGTTGGAGGTGATGCACTTCTCGCTCTTGTGACAAAATTTTCGCCTGTGTGATCCTTCAGCCTTGATCTGTTTGTCAATGGAGCCAGCAGCAGCTTCGTGTGTTGAACTTTTTGAATTGATTCCAGTGGGTCATTGTGATCCATGTCAGATCTTCACCCATCAAACCGCTGGGTGCAGTGAGCAGGCAAAGGCTGAGAAGAACTGTACACGGAGGAAGGGTCAGATGAACTTTTGAGAAGAATTCACAACCCAAGCATAAGATGCTGATCAATTTTCTTAGTGTTTCTGCAGTTTTCTGTTTAAGAGAGAAATAATGATCGACTGGGTAAAACTTTTCTGCATCTCTTAAGATTAATGTTGTTGGATCGTTTCCATTGAATTGAGGGAGCAGATGGAAATTCTTTCTATTGCTTCATATGAAATAAGGCCTTGTTGACAGTGAAGCACTCCCTCAGTCCTGCTTTGGAGTGACAGCCTTTTTTAACATTCAAGGCTCTGGAGAGAACTTTGAAACCAAACGTTCAGATTCAAACGAGAGAATCATGGTCAACACTTGTTGAAAATTGCATCTGTAATAACGTTGCTGTGCAATGCCCAACTGAGCACCCAACAGTACACGAGGGGCTGTGTTTCCTAAATAGTTTGTCACTGTATTCCATTTTATTGCTTGAAAACTGTTGCAGACCCTTAGGTGGGAACCGTGAGGGATGAGGGAGCCCTCTGTGAGTTGGGGAGAGTTCCTGTAAAGTGAGACTCGGAGCCGGCACACAGCTGCTGTAACTCGGTCAGTTCTTCACAGTGTCCATTGCGGTCTTGGAATTTGTGAGCCCCGCTTTGGGAAGCCCTGACTTGAGGGTCTATGATACTGCCCACCTAAGCTTGGGCTGGAGAGAGCATTTTGACAAAAGGGTCATTAAACCTGCTTTCAGAGGAGTTGAAGCAGAGCAGTTTGAATATGTTTACAAACTTTTTGAGCTTGCATGATTAAAATGTGCTCTCAATGGAACATTTTTGTTCATTCAAAGCCAGCATTCTAAACCTTCTTATCGGTATATGATAAACCTGGCTGTACAAAAACTGGGCATTTTACTCTCTGAGCACCACTCAACATTTACCACGTTTACATCAGTTACCCTGTTGGTTTAGTAACTGTCTGTTTCATAATGCTTTATTGCACCTGGTTATCACCACTGACCTCAGATTTTACAGGTTACTTTCCGTTTAATTAGCAACCAGGAATCTCTGCAACACTAGCTAGAGATCAGAAAAAGGCATTCATAATCCAGAAACATAGCCGGGTATCAGACTTGATCACAATTCGGTAGAAGTTTCCTGAATGCTTGGCTGCTGCAGTTTGTTTTACAATAATGGTCACGTAAATAAATATGTAAAAATGTGTCTTTCTCTTTAAAGACCAGTAGCTTTAATTTGCTGGGCAACGGGGAATCTGGGAAAATCGGAAATGTGGTACTGTTTCCATTCCAAGGATACTGGATTTCAGATGTAACACACTGATGTTCTGAGACCATGGATGATTTAACAAAAAAAAACTAATGTATTCTAATCCAGATGATTACTATCCAACAGGGCTGAAGCAGTTCTACAAGGTTGTAAATTCCTACCCACTTCCACACAAGATCTTTGAAGAGAAAATGCAGCATTTACTGGAGTTGTTCAGTAAGATTCCCTTCAACCAAGCTCTGGTCTTCTCTAACCTTCACAGCAGGTACGGTGGATGCAGTCAATACTCCCTTAAGCATTTCATTGTCATAGAATCATGGATTCACAGAATAGGACAAAGCCATTCAGCTCACTCTGCCTGAGCTAGCTCTTTGAAATAATTACCCATTTGCTCCCATTCCCTTGCTTTTCTGCTATAGCTTTGTGAATTTTTCCCTTTTGAGTATCGATCTGATTTTTTCTTTGAAGTTATTGGACTTGTTATTATTTGAAATTATTACCTACTTTCGCTGCAATTTGGGACAGAACATTCCAAATCATAACTCACTGCGTAAATATTTTTACTTCCTCCTCCTCCCTGTTTTCCCCCCCATTCTGTTATAATTTACTTGAAGTCTGTATCCTCTGGTTGCTGAGTCCTCTGACAGTGGAAATCTTGATTTGTTCCATCAAACCCTTCATGATTTTTAGCACTATTAAATCTCCCCTTGATCTTTGGCAAACAACCTCAGCTACTTTAGTCTCTCCATATTGACTCACTCTGCTTTCCAGTACATCTAATCCTTGATTTCTCTGGTCCTGATTAAAGCAGTGAGCAGGATAGAAATTTGTTTTGTTGCTGAAACAATTTTATATCGTATGCCCTTCTCAAAGCTATTCACATGGGACACTGAAAACGAGTCTCCACCATAGCTGCCAGCTTTGGCTGTTTTGGACCTCCAAGGTAGTATGATTGGAGTACAACATAACAGTTAGTTTAGTTGGAATGTTCTTGATTTATAGCTGGGGAAGTGATTGATTATTTCACATGACCAGTTTCTGGCTGGCCTTCAGGGAGAATGCTTTGCAGGGGGCCGAGGCATAGCCAGTGTTGTGTTGTTTTTGGTTTATATACTCTTTGGCTTCTCTAAGCCAGTTAATGTCAGAGATTTTGTTGATGATTCTGTACAAGTCACCTTCTCTGACTCTTAATTTTTATTTTGTCCTCTTCAAAGCACCTGGCTGAATTAGCAACATAGAGAGAAGAAATAATATGTGATGTTCTCCAGAAGGGTCACTGAACCCAAAGCATTAACTTCGCTTTCTCTCCACATGCTGCCAGGCGTGCTGAGTTTTTCCATGAATTTCTGTTTTTGTTTCTGCTTTTCCACATTCACACTTCTTTGTTTAGATATAATATATTAGCTGATTGAATGGCAGGTCCATTGTAAACAGTCGTATGAATATCGTAACTTTTCTTCCAGTATCTCATTAAATAAGACATTTTAGTGTCCTTCAGTGTATCAGTCACTTCCTGCTATATTTCAGAAACGTTTTAAAATTGTAGAAGTGTCACTGAGTAAATTTTGTATTCCTTATTGTCATAGGGCCCAGCGTCTAGCAGACATTCTCACCTCAAAAGGACTTCCTGCAGTCTGCATTTCAGGTTCGTGTTCTGTGTTTCTAACGTACAACTGCTATTCTGTTCCAAACACACACTCTTGGCACCTGGAGTTTCCACTCTATTCTGTTATATGATTTTGGGCACAATTAGTAAGAAAGCAAAGTAACTAGTGCAAAATTTCTAGCATCAGGATTTTCAGTGCAAGTTGAGTTTCCCTAATCTTTTCTGCTTAAATGTTTTAAAAATGTGCTAGAAGTCATGGTCACCCATATCCAGCTACTTCCCTCAGGATGAATTAATCACCACTGTATTTCCACTTATTTGTGCCCATTTGAAGGTCTTTGAGGAGGCTCTTACAAAGTAAACAATCCTTTGGGCATAAGGACACTCACTAATAGACTCATAAGTTTTCAAAATAGCTGTAATTTATTTTTCATTTACTTAAAAACTGATTCCTTTACCACAGTATAACCAGCAATCGTTCAGTGTGTAAGTAACAGATTAAAACACTCAAGGAAAAGTTGGTTCTCAAAATTGGCACAAGAATGTTGATCACATCTGAAACTACAAATCGATCCTTTGTGCTTTTTAAAATTTACGAAGCCAGAATTCAAAGTCTCGCCTTGCACCCTGTCCCTCTGATGTCCTCCTTTTCCACCTGCTGAAAGTCCTGACATGTTGTGATAATTCTCAATTTGAGAATGATCTCCTTCTGCTCCTTCCTGAAGTGGCCCTCCGTCAGTGAGATCGAGGTGTGCAGTAAGAAGCTCAGCCTGACTGTGATTGGGTTTTTGTCCTGAGTCCCCATGTAGACCGTTTCCAGGGGGATCACAGCGTAGGATCCAGAATGCACTATTCCTCCTCTCTTGTACTAAGGCAAGTCATGGTTTTTCCAGGCTGAGGTCAGCTAATCATGCATAGACCAGCTGAAGTGTCTAGTCTGTACAGTTACGTATCACATTGGGGAAGGTTTCCTGATGAGTGATAGTAGGAATACAATTAAACTGCAATAATACAAAAACATCTCAAGGACTGTTCCAGAAGGCAAATCACCATCATCTTCTCTGATGCATTTAGGGATGGGCAATAAATACTGGCCTAGCCAGTGACTCCTGCATCCCATAAATGAATAAAGGTTAATAAATGTGGTTTGTTAATCTAGAATACTTTTTAACGTGCTGTTTACAGCCCTTAATGCGCTAATTTCCATCCATATTCTTTTTCCTTTTTAGGCAGCATGAACCAGAACCAGCGACTTGAAGCCATGTCCAAACTAAAACAGTATAAATGCCGTGTCCTCATTTCCACTGACCTGGTGAGTTTTCAAAGGGGCCCAGTCATCCTTCATCTAAACATACAGGAGGGGAAATTGTTAATGGGAAGGGTGGGAGTCTTCTCAAAACTGCTCCAGATAACGCCGAAAGCCAGTGCTCTGAACAGAGCATATAATCGCTGCCAGTGAAACAGGGAACAGCTCTGCATTCATGACTCTGTTATAATCCTCAGTAGCTGTGTGTGTTGTTTGGCTGGGTTATTTGGATAGGGAGTAAGAGAGCTTAGCCCACTGACCTCAAGTAAGTTGTGTTCCTGTTGTGAAAGTGTGCCCTTCTCATCAGATAAAGGAAATTTATGTTCTTTACAAGTTTAGATTGCAGTTTCCTGCTCAACTAAATATAGGTTGAATCTCTTTTACTGTTCTGCTATTAGTTCTGTATCAGCTATGTACTTGGATCCCAATTTCTTGCCTTTTTTAAATGCAGCCCTTGATATATGATATTTCTTCCTTCAGGTGTTTATCTCGCATTCACTCACCTATAGAACACAATGCAACATAACAGCCCCTGCATATAAAATATTCTTTCTCATCCCTCTACATATTTCGTCTTCACTTGAGGTTTATGTCTTATTTCTGAAACCACAGAGCTTAGAAAATAATTTTAATTCTTTACTTAAAAAAGGACTTGCATTAATTTAATGTCTTTAGTGACCAGGGTCACCCTAAAGCGCTTTACAGGTAATGAAATACTTTTACAGGTGTAAAGGTGGTCCTTGACTTACAAAGGAACGTTCACACGTATTTACAAATGACTATTTAATATTGTGTTCCGATTTGAGTAGACGTAGACTTAACAAGTGAACTCTGCAATGGAATCTGTGTATAACCGGGGCTGTCCGTAGTCATTGTAGTGGGGGATATGTAGCAACCAATTTGAACACAGCAAGCTCCCATGAACAACAATGTGATGATGACCTGGTCGTCATCAGAGGTAGTAAGAACTGCCAATGCTGGAGTCAGAGATAACAAAGTGTGGAGCTGGAGGAACACAGCGGGCCAGGCAGCATCAGAGGAGTAGGGTCCCAACCCGAAATGTCAACTTTCCTGCTCCTCCAGCCCCACACTGTGCTATCTCTGAGACTCCAGCATCGGCAGTCCTTACTATCTCTGATGATGACCAGGTCTTTTTTTTTTGGATTATTGCTGATGTCGTTTGAGGAGTAAATATTAGCTCAGGACACAGAAAGAACAGCTCTGTTCTTCGTCAATTAGAAATCTGGAGTCTTTTAATCTCCTTAAGAGCCTGGACATATTTAGATGACCTTGCTCACTAGTCCGATTCCCAAAAATAACGTGATGATGACCTACACTCAGAAAGAATATGCCAGGTCTCTTTTTCATTATTCATTGAGGACATGGACATCACTGGTTGGGTCAAAATTTTATTACCGATCCCAAATTGCCCCTGGGAAGGTGGTGGTGAGCTTCTTTCTTGAGCTGCTATTGTATATCATGTGCTATCTCTAACAGTGGCCTGTTCTCAGGGCCAGGAATAAACTTTACTCAGTCTGAATTTTGTCAGCTGTTTGCTGGGAGAAACGTTGAGAAAGTTCTTTTCCCCAGAAAGTGTGTACGCTGCTCATGGAGGTCCTCTAGTGGTATCTGCCCATTATTGCGGTGTTTGCTGCACTGAGCTGAAGCATTCCTTGGGACTTGCTGATCTCCTACTCTAACTTTGGCAACAGTGATGCTTTTCAAGGCCCTGAGGAAATTTCACCCTGATATTTAAGAGTAGTTGGATCTCGTCGCATCTGCCCCTTTTAGTAGATCTGCCCCACTCGCATTCACCCCGTATCCCTTGATCATTTTTGTCTCAAGAAATGTGTCCAAGCAATTTTTTAGCTTGGCTGTCTGGTTGCTACTCTATCTTATGAGAGTTGTAACTCCACTGATCACTAGTAATTTTGATGGAGGGTGTGCTACACTTGGTGCTTCAGATTGGCCATTAGATTGAGACGGTGAGCAAAAGCCCTTTCTGCCTGACCTGGGTATTAAAGATGGCGTGGTACTATATTACAAGCTGGGTGCTTGTGTGGCGTTGTGCTGAGTAGTGCTCCCACAACCAGCATTAGCAGAAACAGATTATCAAGATGTTGCTGTCATTGATGGGAGAGCTTGTGCACAAGATGGGTTGTGCATTTACCTATAACTATGGAAATGGCAGAGCAGGCTTGAAGGGCTGAATGGCCTACTCCTATTTTTCTGTGTTTCTGACAGTGGGATTTAATTTTATTGAATATGAGGCACTTGCGATATTTGAGTTGTGGTGAAGTGCTGTGTAAATGTCAGTTGTCTCTTTTTGGACCAGACACTGAGAATACTTCTCCGGAAACTTATTTGGTGTTTTCCCACAGTTTTTATGACCTACAAATGAGCTGTTCAAACCAAATGATTCATGCTGGAATTTATACTGCAATCTAGCCTCCTCCCCACCCCTCCTTCCCCTCAAAGTCTTATTGAGATTCTCCTTAAAGGGGATGGGTTTCACAATCTGAGGCAGAAATGGCAGCCATGAAGCAGGTGATCAGAATTGATGGACCTGGTATTGACTCCAAAGCCCCTTTAGGTCTGGATGTTTTTTTGTCTCTGGGCGTGGCCAGCTCCAATAAGAGTCAGGATTCATATCTGACCGTGTACCCCTGCAATCATCCCCTGACCCCCAGCTTTCACTCTGGGTCAAAGCAAGTGTGAAGTATTAAACTAGGTCACTGTTGGGAAAATGTTTGGGAAGCAGTGCTGTAAATGTGGAGACACTTATTGCCTCAACCTGTCCCCTGTAGGAGCAAGTTTCACATTCTCACCATTCTGGGTTTAAAGAAGGTTTCTCCTGAATCTCTTATTGGGTTTATTGGTCTTATTTATAGCCCTAATTCTGAATTCACCGTCTACTCTTTCAGTTCACAGAATTATTGTGGTACAGGAGGCAGTCATCAGCCCATCGTGTCTGCACTGGCTTTCTGAGCATTATAACTTGCTGTCAGTCTTCTGTCTTTTCTCCTTAACTCTCTATATTGTTTCTACTTGGAAATAGCTGCACAGAGGCCGGTATCCCGTCTCAAAGTAGCCCTTTATTTACATGTGCACGGCGCATGGATGGTGACGAGCCAGTCCATAGACCGAGGAGTCGTTCTGATTCCCCTGTTGATACCTGTCAGCCAGGGCTCCCTAACTGGCCCAGGTTAACAACCTCAATCAAGGATTTCATAGTCAATGAGATCCACCTGGCCCTTGTTCCAATCATTATAATTTATAATTTAAATAATCATCCAGTGACCCTCTTGAATGCCTTGATTGAGTCTAACCCCACCATTCTTCCACGCAGTGTATTCCAGACTCTTAACTACTCACTGTATGAAAACAGTTTTCCTCACTTTGCATTTACTATATTTGCAAAACACTGCCCTTTGTTCCCACTTGTAAGTGGATTGAGAACCAGTTTCTCCCTATCCACTCCCCAGAATGGGAAATGTCTACTCCATCACATGTCCTTTCATAATCTTAAATAGCTTTATCACCCTTTCACCTCATTACCATTCAGAATGGAGAAACTCTGCTTATTCCTAATTTAACTTCTAACTTGCTTCTCCTCCCAATTGAAACATTGCCATCATGAGCATTCTCTTTCCTGTTGAATAAGGCTGCCTCATACTGGCTTCTAATACTGGCTACCTAAGATGTTAAAGCCTGGAATTTATGGTGAAGACATGTCCCCACTTGCTGGGCCAGAGTCTTATGTCTTCTATGGTCCTGTAGGTGCATAGTGGGTCTTTCATTAGTTGTATAATGCTGACTTTCATTAAGTATGTCTAATTCAAAATTCTCTCTGGTTCTTTTTGTAATAAACCAATTTTCTTCTGACTTTATTTAAATGAGGTATCAAAAGTCATGACACCAGGTTATAGTCCAACAGTTTTCTGACTTTGTCTGCCCCAGTCCAACACTGGCATCTCCACATCATTTAAATAAAACATTGAGTTCCCTGAACTGCCAAAGTCAACTGGATATTTTCCAGCTCTGTTGGTATAAGTAATGTTAGCTGAGACAGGGGCAGAGATGTTACAATTGATCTCTACTTTCTTCATTTGGGAAGTGAATAATCAGCTATTATGCCAGTTCACAATCCAGTGACTAGTCTTCAAAAAATATTGTGTGTGGATAGTTGATCCAAACAGGGTTGGACATAACTGGGTTGCAACCACTTGGGAGGGGACACACCAGTATTCCACAAGAATATAAAAACATTGGGCACAATGCACCAAGCTGTGGCTCTGGAGAGTATATGATGTGCGTGGATTAATGAAAGTAGAGATGTTTGTTATTTATGAATGTTGTCCCTTTCAGACTTCCAGAGGAATTGATGCAGAAAAGGTGAACCTGGTGGTTAACTTGGATGTGCCCCAGGACTGGGAGACATACATGCATCGAATAGGCAGAGCTGGCCGCTTTGGTATGAATTACATAGAATTTGTATATCTGAATAGTCCATTTGAACCATCTAGTTGATGCTGGTCTTTATGTCTCACAAAAGCCTCCTCATTATCTTACTTAGTCTCAGTCTACCCACACATCCTTCTATTCCTTTCACACTCGTGTACTGAAGATGTGCTGTGGTACCCTGGCCTGACGGACATGGGTGTTTTATGAAAATGGTACTGTAAATGTTTTTACAAATCTGTGTTAAAGGTTAAGCTCTCGAAGATAGCTCCAGGTCCTTTTACTGTTTAAAAAATAAATTCTGCCAGACCTATATCAAAAATTAAAAGAAGGAGCATTCTCATAAATATATCTAGGATCTTAAATGTTCCTACTGTTATGCCTGGTGATCTGATTTATGATTGCTGCAATTAGTTTAGAGGAGGCAAGTTGCAATGTGATGTTACCAAATCTGTTTCAGTACCTTGCACAGACATACTGGAATATAGATTAAATGTACTATCTATTTTCAGAGACAGTTGGAACTGCCGATGCTGGAGTCTGAGATAACAAGATGTAGAGCTGGATGAACACAGCAGGCCTAGCAGCATCAGAAGAGCAGGAAAGCTGACGTTTCGGGTCTGCACCCTTCTTCAGAAAAGTGGGGGCGAAGGGGACTCTGAAATAAATAGAGAGAGGGGGAGGCGATGATGGAAGGTGGATAGAGGAGCAGATAGGTGGAGAGAAGATGGACAGGTCAAGGAGGCGGGGATGGCGCCAGTAAAGGTGAGTGTAGGTAGGGAGTTGGGATGGGGGTTGGTC